GTTCAATGCAAAAGCAATTACAAGCATTGCAGCCCTTTTGAAATGCAGAGATAAACTGCTAAAGAGCTTTCCTGATAAGGGTTAAGTCATGAATGTGGTTGTCAGGGCAAGATAGCAAGCCTGACAAGGAATTCAGGAAGATGGAGTTAGAAATCTACCTAACAGAACTTTAAAAATGCAAACAGAAGAAAAAACAGTAGGTTTTATAAGCTGGCTTCTTTAGCCCTAGGAGTAAAATGAAGAGAAAACCAAATCTTCAAAAGACTTGGACATGCATGAGGGTTTCATGTGAGGTGAGGAATATACTCTGTAAGGACTGGAAGGTTTTTCCCTACTGTTGCTGAAAGACAGAAACTTACAATCTTTCTTCATGGAAAATATTCACCTCTATGGAGAAAGAGTGCACATGCTATATCCCAGCTGTTCATGAGTCCATTTCTCAGTTTTCTGTCTAATATTTGAACAGTATCCAACTAAAAGAGGTTTTTTAAACAGCAACACTATGTTGCTCAGGTCCTTCACAGCTTTAATACCTACCTTTGTAATGCTTTCTCTCCAGAGTCGAACAGATACATACGTAGGACATTCGCCTGCTGGAACTTCAGTACAGAACATTCTTCACTGGCATCAGGTATATCTGCCTGCTAACTTATAACCAGACTCTTAGTACTGCTTTAGAGCACCCAGCAAACTGCAGGGAAGTCCAGAGGTGATGGATCTGGGAAAAGGCTGATCATGTCTTCTCACTCCCACCCTGAGCACCTGCCATGGAGGAAGGAAGCAGTTTCCCAAGGCACACCAGACCATTACCTGAACTGTCCCCTTGATATCAGGCACTGAGGTTTCCCCAGGGTGCACCAGGCCTCTCTGCGTGTTGGGCTCTGTTGGCTTCCAACCTTCTTTTTTTTTTTATGAGGACATTTGCCTTAAAAGCTACAGAAGTGAATGTGAGCACAGTCTAGGCACTTGGAGGATAGTGGAAACGTGAGCAGCCAGGAGATGAGCCAAAGCAGTGTTCCAGGTTAAAGCAATTTCTTTTTTCCAAGGGAGTAATTGCAGCCTGGATCACTTCCCAAAGCCAGTTAACCACACAAACCCTTCTACTGGCACAACAGCAAACTGGGGAACTGCCTTATAATAACAGAGTACGTTACAAGCAACGTTGCTCTACAGGGATGTTCCCAACAGCCACGTGGGTTTCCACATACGCTCTGGCATATCTGAACTTACTCTGCTCATGGACTGAATCAGAACAAGACAAAACAGCTCCAGCCAAGAAATATTCCTGAATGCGTACAGGGGCACCTGCTGAGCCAGAACATATCTGTATACATCCTATAGGCTGACTCCCCCTTTCTGCAAACACTTCATATGGTCTAGGATATAGGTGTGCTACTGAGGACACCCAACAAAAATTCCCTGCATTTAGTCCTGCAGGATGCACGTACCCAGAGCCAGAAAATGGGGACAACCCATTGACATGCAGTGGCTTTGCAGTCTAATTTCCCAGCCTCTAACCAAAGCTTATTAAGTGGCTACAAAGCAAACACAGATACACCAGATTAGAAGAAAACAGCAAAGGCAGGACAGAAGCAGATTTTTAGCATATCACCACTTACTTGAAGCCTTGAAGTAAAGGTCTTCTAAACAGAATTTATCTCCCTCTGAACTATATACAGCCATTCACACATTAAATTATTTGTCAGGTTTAGGCAAAAAATAAAATAAAGGTAGGTAAAAAAAAACCCACCACAATTAACCTCCCCCCCACCAAAATCCCACAACAAACAGATGGCTGCATAATTTTTCACTCATCGATCCTACAGGGCATGTATCATGTCTTTTAAATGCAGATCCCAAAACTCTGGTACCTTCTGTCTAACGTCCCACCTCAAAACTGCAAGTCATCTATAGTCAAGCTCTTGTAAGAAGTACAGAACCTCTGGAAATTTTTCCACTACTGTAAGCAGACCAGACAAAACTGACACACAAACCACAAGACAAATATGGAGAGATCTTACATTATGCTAGATTAGTAAAAGCCCTGACATATTCTAGGCATTCAGGTCCTCTTTCCACATGGAAACTGAATCCAACACTGCATCACAAACAGGAACTCCACATTTAGTTAGCTAAGATAGCCAAGTCAAATTTGAATACCAAAACATAGCAAGGATGGCAGCTGAGGATGAGGAGAGAACATTAGCAAGGAGAAAGGCAATGAAGCCGCTCCCCTGGCAATCAATCCTCAGTATCCCTGGAAACTTGCAACTAGAGGAAGGGGTGGGAGTAACTCATAGTCCACTGCCTGAGCCTTGGCTTCACTCACAGGCAGTAAAACGTGTCCCGATCTCTGCCTCTTGCTCTCCTAGCACTTATATTTTACCTGTTCTTTTAACAGATTTTATACGCAGGCCAATTTCAAGCTTATGACTATGGCTCTAAGGAAAACATTAGGAAATACAACCAGGTAAGGCAATGTGGGATTTCCTGAAAACTCATCCTTGAGCCTTGGCAAAACTAAGAACGGAAACATTCAGATTTTTAACACCTTGCGTGACACTGAAAGAGGGAGAGAGTGCTCTGATCTAATGTTTCACATGTAACCTAACACTCATAAGTGCAAAACCCTATTTGAAGACAAGACATAGCTCTTTGCAGACAGCTAACACAAGTTCAGTTTATCTCCCCTACTGATGCAGGGATGTGTCCAATGACATATCCATTTACCTGCCATTCCAAAATGACTCAGAGCTACACTCAAGATGGGATTCCGATGGAGCTCTTCATTTCCCCACAAATCCTCAAGGTCTGCCTTTCTGTTGAGAGGTGAAGTGAATCTCAGAGCTGCAGCAATCTCTCCAATTGGCTGACAATGATTTTGTTGAAGCAGCACATTTGACTTGCAGTGTCTCGTGCTGTACCAGGGCAAGCTGCTTTCCACGGACAGGAAGGCTCCAGAGATAGACTTGGTCACTTCTGTCCATGCACACCATCTGAGAAATTTTCTAGGGTAAAATTACACATGGTCAAAGTATTTCCTTGCCACTT